AGAGGAAACAAACAAATCAGAAACAGAACAACAAAGTACTACAGCACAAACTAAGTCTCATAATTCATGTATCTGTCCAGACTTAAACATTTAAATGTCTTTATAAAGTGAAAGAGATTTTAGGTTTTCTGCACAGTTGTTCCAGAGCTCCACCCCTTTAACAGATACACAAAATTTCATAATGTTTGTTCTAATTTTCTTTTTTGATAAACATGGTTGTGCCTCTGAGCTCATATTGGCTCTTTCGGATTTTGAATATGTCTTTTATTTTATTTTATTTATTTATTTATTTATTTCTAGTTTTTATCCATTTTATTTTTTTGTACTGCTTTTATGTGTTGATTTTATTATTTTTGTTCATTTATTTTATTATTATTATTATTTTATGTATTTATTCTATTAGTGTCCTTATGGTTGAAACATAATTCTGCTGATTTTTATTTTTTTTTTTTTAAGTAACATGTTTTGCATTGCTATGTGAAGCACTTTGGGAACTGTGCTACACAAATAAAGTTGGACTGGATTGGAAAATAGACTCTTGTGAGGTTTAAGTCATGTTATAATGTTGTTACCTCCTCAAAACATTTCTAGAGTTTTGTTTTGTTTCATTCACTACCTTTTAACTTTAGTTCAGCAGAGATTGGCAACTCCAGGACTGAAATTATCTAAATAATTCTAGTGAAGGTGTGCGACAGTAAAGCAACAACATGCTAACAAGCACTTCCTGATTATCAGACTATAATAAGATTTATAATTAGAGGCAGGCAGCACAGAACAGATTTCAAGACCTCAGGATCTGCTTTGTTCAATGAAAGGTGTTTTTGTTGCTCAAAAATACACTGGAAAATAAACATTTCATCTTCATCTTGGGTGGTCAGCAGCAGTAATTAAAAATGCAGTTTTATTTATTTATTTATTTATTTATTTTTGGTTGTGTTTATTGCACTGAAGAATATGTTTAATCTGAGCAGGCTTGCATCTCCACAAACCTGACTCTGACACAAACCTCCTGCTTGTTTCCATGGAAATGATGTTCCTCTGATTATAAACTTTCAAAGTAAAAGATGTGATCATTTACCAAAGTATGTCATAAAATTGATCTAGCTCCATGGACAATGTTCCATGTATCATTTGTTTATTCGTTTTTTAATTCAGTTCTGGCTTAATCTTGGTGCAGTCCTGGTTTAGCTCTGGTTTAGACCTGGTTCAGTCCTGGTTCAGTCCTGGTTCAATCCTGGTTCAATCCTGGTTCAGTCCTGGTTCAGTCCGTGTGCGACACAAAAGTCCGGCATCACTGTTTAAGTCACAGAAACTAGAAAAGGCCGTTATACGTTTTTTTTTTTTTTTTTTCCATTATTCATTTCAACACAAAATCGAAAACTGAAATAACAAATCGTTATCTGTTTTTTTTTTTTCAATTTGGTTTTGGAGACAAACAATGATGAAAATTGTTGTTTTTTTCGTGTTCTTATTTTTGGTTTATTTTGAAAAGCAGATGAATGAATGATACATGGATCGTTCTGAAGTAGGTTTTAACTTTCTATTTCCATGTGCCAGCTCCAAAAAGTTCTTTTAGTACCTTTAAATGAAAGCGTTGAGATCTGGATTTGACAATATTCAAGATTTGAACACAAAATGCAGGGAATAGATTCAGTAGATTATAGATTTATGTATTTTCAAGTTTTATTTTGTATATATTTAAATTCATTATTAAATGTGTGTAAAATCCCTTCGTCATCCCGGTGGCAAAAGAAGTCCAATTTGTCAGCTGGACAAAAGTTTATTTGCATTATTAAACTTTAACAGCTGTACAATATACAAAGACCTACTGTAATAAAACAGAATTCCTAGAAACTTTACGGATCTTCGTTATTTATTAAGTGATATCTGTCGTCGTAAAAGTATGGGATGACTTGGAGGGACGTGATTGGCTAAGAGACCTGGAGTCACGTCACTGCGCACGAGGTTTTTGTGGCTCATTAAAAAAAAAAAAAAAAAAAAAGACTGGAAATCTTTCACCGCATCTATAGCTGGTGAGGAGACTGTGAATTATTGATTGAAAATATGTAACTTAGTATTAACAAAGTCTAAGTCAGAACTAAACCTGGACTGACTTTTGGAGTTGTCACTATCAACTTACAACAACAATATTTTTAGGGGTCAGAATTTATCATGTGTAAAAAATATAAATGGTAATAATAAATATAAAATAAGTAGACTGGAGTCAAATAAGGCATACTTATATAAATCTATATGTACAAGTAAAGTAAAAAATAAAAAATACTGTGATATATACAAATACTTTTTTACTCTTACTTAAAGGTGCATTGTGTAACTTTTCTGGTAGCGTGTCCATCAAATGCTCTTCTCCATGGCGACGAATGTTTCACAGTACGGTATTAAACCTTTCTACCTTCATGGAGACCGATCCCAACTAAGTTACAGGTCAGATCTGTGGAGAGGCGACCCCGCTCACAGTCAGAATGTTTGTTTTTGTAGGTATTTTTGAGCTATAAAACCACCTCTAATTGAATAAATGTAAAATAGAGGTGCTTAATGTCATAGTGTGGAACATTCCAGGCAGAGCAATGATATAGTGCAGCTTTAAGTATGTTCTTGGACCACACTTCCACTGGAGAAATACTATTTTGAAGTAACATTACTCTAACCTTTTTTAACTTTTTTTTTTTTTTTTTTTTTTTATATATATATATTTTTATACATCGTTTTATTTTTTTTTTCAATTTTTTAAAAACTTTTTTATTAAATTTTTTTTTTTTTTTTACATTTTTTATACATTGTTTAAATTTTGTCTTACATTTTTTTTTTTTTTACATTTTTACATTTGTATACATCGTTTTCATTATTATTATTATTATTTTTTATTATTTTTTATTTTATTTTTTTTACTCTTCTTGTTTGTTTTTTTTTATACTTTTTTTTTTTTTTGTAAAATTTTTTGTTGTTTTGTTTTTGTAACACTTTCTTTTTACTGTGTTTATACAATTTTTTTTTTTTTTTACTTTTTTTTTTTACCACACTTCCACTGCAGAAATACTATTTTGAAGTAACATTACTCTAACCTTTTTTAACTTTTTTTTTTTTTTACACATTTTTTTTTATATTTTTATACATCGTTTTATTTTTTTTCAATTTTTTAAAACTTTTTTATTTAACTTTTTTTATTTTTTTACATTTTTTATACATTGTTTAAATTTTGTCTTACATTTTACTTTTTTATTTTTTATTTTTACATTTGTATACATCATTTTCATTATTATTCTTATTATTCTTCTTTTTTTTTTTTTTTTTACAATTTTTTACTCTTCTTGTCTGTGTTTTTTTTTTTACACTTTTTTTTTTTTTTTTTTTTTACAATTTTTATACATTGTTTTACTATTTTTATGTATAATATTTTTATTTTTTTAGTTGTCTTTTTTTTGTTTAATCCTCTACCCAACTCTAACTCTATGACAGATCCGTGTAATTTGAAACATGCAGTAAAAAGTGTTCATAACCAAAGAAAATTCACCACAACAGTAGCTGAAAGAGCTTTTAACAAGTCAAATTTCTCTTAAAACAGTGTTACATCAGTTTACCAGCAATAAAAACACTTAAAATAAATACAGTGAATATATGTCAAACCGATAAAAAACAAATAAAGGCTGTGATACTAAAAGTGTTTGTTAAACCACTTCTTGCGCAAAGTTAAAAGGAAACACAAACATTTTAATCATCAAAACAGGGAAAATGTCAAACGTGTTGCATAAATGAGTTTCCTTCCTCTAAACAAACAACAAAACTGTAGCACTGTAACAAAATAATTAAGTAAAATACATCAGAAAATACTTAATACTTGATGTTTTTGCACTCCCCTGATGTCAAAAGACCAAACAAAGTACACAGAAATACACACTCGCTGATAAACGTGTACAGTATCTGAGCCAGTGCAAACAGACACTACATCATTGCTATTAATACTTTTCAGCTGCCGTCATCAACATTCCCTGAGGAGTGACGCTAACTGTGGGCACTGCTCTGTCTGACTTCACTTTGAGCTTTGTTTTATCAAAAGTGCCATTCAAGTAACTTTCACAATCTCAAAATAGTCAGCATGAGGCAAATGTTTTTCTTTAGTTAGACACTTTCAACTTTGTTTTCATTGACCAAGCTTTTCAGAAAGATCACTACAAGGAGATGTTTGGAGATGTTTTTGAATATGTTCTGAGATGTTTTTTTAGAGATGTTTGGAGATGTTTTTGGAGATGTTGTTAGAGATATTTTTGAAGATGTTTTTGGAGATGTTGTTAGAGATGTTCTGAGATGATTTTGGAAATGTTGTTAGAGATGTTCTGAGATGTTTTTGGAGATGTCTGAAGATGTCTGGAGATGAAGAGATGTTTGGAGATGTTTTTGGAGATGTTGTTAGAGCTGTTTTTGGAGATGTTGTTAAAGATGTTCTGAGATGTTGTTGGAGATGTCTGAAGATGTTTTTGGAGATGTTCTGAGATGTTTTTGGAAATGTTGTTATAGATGTTCTGAGATGTTGTTGGTAAAGATGTTCTGAGATGTTTTTGGAGATGTCTGGAGATGTTTTTGGAGATATTTTTGGAGATGTTCTGAGATGATTTTGCAGATGTCTGAAGAAACCTGGAGATGTTTTTGGAGATGTTGTTAGAGATGTTCTGAGATGTGTTTGGACATGTCTGAAGATGTCTGGAGATGTTTTTGGAAATGGCTTGAGACGTTTGGAGATGTTTTGGAGATGCATGGAGATGTTTTGGAGATGCATGGAGATGAGTGGATATGTTTTGGAGATGCGTTGAGATGTTTTTGGATGGAGATGTTTGGATATATTTTTGGGGTTCTTTGGAGATGTTTTTGAAGATGATTTGATATGTCTGGAGATGTTTGCAGATGTCTAGAGATGTTTTGGAGGTGTTCTGAGATGCTTTGAGATGTTTGAAGATGTTTTTGGAAATATTTGTTTGTGGACTCACCGGTGAAGATGGGGCAGAGCTTCTCCCAGCAGGTGATGCCCCCCTCGGAGGTGAACTGTCCCAGGGCCACCTCCAAGAAGAAGACCGGCAGCCCTCCACCAAACAGGAAGATGAAGTAGGGGATGAGGAATGCACCTGTCAGAGCAAGACACACGGGTTAGACTGAGAAGCAAGTAGTAAAAGTGCACTGTTAGCATGCCAGTTGTTGTTTTACCCTCATAGATCTTTGGTAGCTGTGAAATACATTATAATTTTTCTAATATATGTGAATTATTAAGATGCTCTGGATGCTTAAGGTAAATGAGGAATAACTTTGGACCACTGCAAACTGTGTTTAAAATGATTTAGCTCATCATAACAACAAAACAAACTCCTTCTCCACACTTTTCTCCAAACCAGTTCCTCGTAACCAGCTGAGAGTCTTACCTCCGCCGTTCTTGTAGCAGAGGTAGGGGAAGCGCCACACGTTGCCTAAGCCCACGAATCCCCCGGCCACAGACAGGACAAAGTCCAGTTTGCTGGCCCATTTCTCCCTCTGGGGGTGTTTCCCCTCAGCCTCGTCCTCGGGCCTGGTGCCTGGACTCTTCCCTGGAGACGGCTTCAGCGTGTCCTTGTGGAAGTCCTTCAGGCACTGCAGCTTCTCCTTCTGAGACATTCTGAGGGACACACACGAAGAAGAAGAAGTTTATATTAAGTTTCAGTTGAGTTTTATAAAGAGAGGTTATTACGCTGCGGTATTGACAGCTTACAGGTTACATATTCAGATCGTCGTGGTACATTTTGTTGGTCTGAAAATATTACAGTTGCCAAAAACAATGTATTAAAAAGTGTGTTATGTACTGTGAGTTATTTGGTCCACACTCACACCTACACAACCTGAACCCAGCCCAGTCCAGCTGTGATGCTGCGATATTCGTGAGTTTATTTTGGGAGTAACGAGTTATAATAAAAGTAACAAATTACTGTGATACATTGCTTTTTGTTGTAACGCAGTAATTTAAGGCATTACAGGGAAAAAAGTGGTAATATTTTACTCACTACAAATGTCAGTAACGTGCGCCACAATGCTTTTTTAACCTAGATTGAAGTGGTGGGTTTTTTCGTTTTTCTTCATACAAATTCGCTACAATCACCGCGATATCAGCAGCGGTGAAACGCCGGAGATGCGCCTGTGTAGACCGTGATCGCGAGTGAAAAGACCGGCGCAGAACTCCACACTCCAGTGAGATAAACGCAGCTGATGCCCGATCGCACTCGGACGTTCTCTCAGGAGCGGTCCTAGATTCCAAGTTCTAGTCCAAGATTAATCCTGGTTTAGTCCTGGTTTAGACCTGGTTTAGTTCTGGTTTAGACCTGGTTTAGTCCTGTTTCGGTTCTGGTTTAGAGGTGGTCTAGTCCTGGATTAGTCCTGGTTTAGTCTCAGTTTACCCCCAGTTTAGCCCCAATTTAGTTCCAGTTAAGGCCTGGTTCAGTCCTGGTTTATTCCTGGTTCAACCCCAGTTTAGTCTTAGTTTAGTCACAGTTTAGTTCTGATTTATTCCCAGTTTAGTTCCAGTTTAGTGCTGGTTTAGACCCAGTTAAATTCTGGTTTAGTCCCAGTTTAGTCCTGGTTCAGCCCCAGTTTAGTCGCAGTCTAGTCCCAGTTTCGTCTTGGTTTAGTCCCAGTTTAGTCCTGGTTCAGCCCCAGTTTAGTCGCAGTCTAGTCCCAGTTTCGTCTTGGTTTAGTCCCAGTTTAGTCCTGGTTCAGCCCCAGTCTAATCCTAGTTTAGTCCCAGTCTAGTCCCAGTCTAGCCCCAGTCTAGTCCCAGTCTAGCCCCAGTTTAGTCCCAGTCTAGTTCCAGTTTAGTCCCGGTTTAGTCCTGGTTTAGTCTCAGTTTAGTCCTGGTTCAGCCCCAGTCTAGTCACAGTCTAGTCCCAGTTTAGTCCTGGTTCAGTCCCAGTTTAGTCCTGATTTAGTTCCAGTTTAGTCCTGGTTCACTCATAGTTTAGTTTAGTCCCGGTTTAGTTCTGGTTTAGTCCTGGTTTGGTGCAGATTTTGTCGACAGAAAACCCTCCATCTCCCTCCATCTGCTCTGCCCCCGAGGCTCAAGGCTTTCTCTCAATCCCTCTTTTATTTATATTTTATTCATTTTTCATCTTATTTCTCACAAAGGGATTTCTCCTCAAAGAGACGAATATCACAGGCTCAAAACTCAATACATTTATCTAGAAATGTTTGATGTTTGTGAAGATCAACAAGCATGTTAAAAAATATATATTGACCCAAAAATCTCCACAAAGAAAATGAGATCATAAAGAACACATTAAAGCGCCTAAATTAGATTATTTTCTGATCTATGTTGTAATGCGGTTTCCTCATCACAAAGACTGGGTAACACGGGCCCTTTGACAATAAAATACAGATAAAATGCAGTGTCCTCATTTATTTTACAGTAAGAGTGTGAGCATTTCCTGTTTCACACCAGTAGCTATAAGTAGAGATAAGAGGCCCAAGTGACCGAGATACACCAACAGACGCTGACTCATACACAAGGCCGACCTGGTTAAAAATGCAACACTCAAAGATACTGAAGACATTTTCAGATCCCAAAGAGCTGTGAGGCCATGACGTCAAACTACGGCGCCTGTCCGGGTCCCTTTTGTGGTACAGCACAACAGTAAACAAATTGGTCGAGATGGATGTGGATATAAAAAATAAAATTAAAAAAGTGCCTGCCAAGTGTCGAGCGAATTAATCCTAATGCTGCGAGGTCAGACGGTTTCCACAAAGTGAAAGCCTTCGGAGAGCATCTGCGGCTGTAGTCTGCCCTGCATTGAAGATATTTACATCAGCAGGTGCAGGACAAAAGCCCACAGCATCGTGGAAGACTCCACCCATCCAGCACATGGACTTTTTACAGCTCTCCCATCAGGCAAAAGATTGCGCCATCTACAGGCCAGGACCACGAGACTACGGAAGAGTTTTTATCCTGATGTCGTGAGGCAGATCAATTCTGTCAGAAAGCCCAGACACTAATGCACCTTACAAAACAGCACTGACTTGGAGCGCACTTTAGAAAACGGGGGCAGGTGGGGGCTGTGATTTTTTAAAGACTGTATTTGACTTACAATATTTTTAACTATTTATTATTATCTTTGCTGCTGTTGACCTGGACCTGAGTGCAGTGTTTCGTTTCAGTATATTTTTTTATACTGAAATGACAAATAAATTTCTGATTCTAAAACTAGCTGATGATTTGCATTAGCACTTTTTAAGTACATTTTACTTGGTACAGCACAACAGTAAACAAAGCGGTCGAGATGGATATAGACGAAGACAGACATTCAGGTGTTGGCGACGATTCCCAAGATCGAGGATTTAAAGCCGGAACAAAGAGAATGTTTGGTGAAGGGGAAACACGTTACTGCCCTTTTTTCCTACAGGATTTGGCCACGACCAAATAGCAGCGATTGATTAAATTTAAAAAAGTCCCCGCCTACCGTCGAGCGAACGAATCCTAATGCTGCGAGTTCAGACGGTTTCCATAAAGTGAAACTGGCTGATGATTTGCACTCGCACTGTTTAAGTAAATTTTACCGCTGTAACATCAAGTACAATTTACTCGTCAGTATTAAGTAAAATGCACTTAACCACCACCAATAATAGTCATGGATTTACTGAATAAATGTGACTCAATTTTTAGAAGTCATATTAATGTATGTAAATTAAGTAAAATATCTAAAATACTGTCATAATTATTTGCATTGCTGTGATGAAATAATGAAGTAAATATCATATACAGTATATATAGTATTTACTGATGTGTAATAAATGGTACAGTTTTATATAGCGCTTTTCTACCTTCAAAACAAAACAAAACTCTTTAAAACAAGGAACCACTGACCCATTCACACATCAGTGTACACAGACACTCGGGGCAAGGTGGTTTAAGTGTCTTGCTCAAGGACACAATGACAGCATTCATCTGTGGGAGCTAGAATCACATCTCCAACCTGTGGGTCAGTGGATTTGACCGCGCTCCCCAGTGATAATTTTATTTATTTATTTTTTTATGTCAAGAGGAGGCTTCAAACCGCCAACCTTCAGATCAGTGGACGCTCTACCAACTGAACAACTGCTGCTCCAGCCCAAATACGTAGCCACCAGGTGCAGGGAGATATCTAGAAGGACTTTGGTATGACTCAGTATTTCTGGGTTTGTGAGTAGCGACTGTAAAACCTTTAAAACGTATTGGTGATTATATAGTAGATAATACTTCGACTACTTGAGTAAGTAAGTCAGTTTTGTCCATTTCTATTAAATAAGTTATTGCAGTTGATTTCATATATTTTACTAGTGGAATGGCCCACAGTATGGCATTAAACAGCTCTACCTTACATGTATTCAATTACAGGGGGTTTTATAGCTGAAAAATACATAGAAAAATACCTAGAAAGTCTTAATGCCACACTGTGAAACATTCCCACAAAGCAATAACCCTCCACCACAAAAGTTAAGCACTGCACCTTTATCTAAATGAGCATGGTAACTAAAAAGTAAGAAATTTTCCTCAATTAAAAAAAAATAAATAAATTTGACTAAATTCTGACAAAACTTAAAACAATCTGATTCAAAATTCTAAAGCATTGCGTAACTTTTCTCGTGGAGGGTCCATCAAATGTCTGTCTCCATGTTATTGCCTTGTCTGGAATGTTCCACAATATGGCATTAAACCTTTCTAGGTATTTCTCTCGGTATTTCTCAGTTATAAAACCACCTGTGATTTAATACATGTAAGGCAGAGCTGTTTAATGTCACACTGTGGAACATTCCAGGCAGAGCAATGACGTATCCATGGAAACAAGCAGGTGACCGACCCCCCGAACCAAAAAGTTACACAGCGCGCCTTTAAGCGTTTCTGGAAAAGCTGCTCGGTCCGGAATGCAAACCCCACAAAGACGTCTCCATAAAGTTTGCGGCGCGTGGACTCATGTTTCGCGCGTTGTGAGTCTCAGTGAATAAATCCTTGTCCGAGTCGCGTCTGCGGTTACGGCGAGCGCATTCCCCCCTGACAGCTGAGATCAATGTGGAAAGTGGGCTCTGGCCGGCGCAGTTGGGCAGCCCCGCGTCACCCACAACAGCTGATGAAACTGAGATGAATGCACAGATGATTTAGAGGGTGGAGTGATGGGTGTGTGTTACAACTGTATTTACTACTGGTGATTATGAAGGCATGGAGGCGATCAACTGGACGAATCAAACACAATAGAACTAAAATCAAATCTGGAAGGTGAACCCAAGATGGCGTCGTATTGTTTTCGGTGGCCTGTGCTCACTGGTGCATGGGCCCAAAAATAATTTACTCTTTCTCATGTACTTTCACAGTACGGGACGGCGTGGAGCGTTTGAACCAATCTAAAGCGGAGCTAGTGTGGGTTCAGAGCATGGATCTATAATAAAAACTGGATAAGGTCCCCGCTTGAGACAGACTAGTGGCCGCTCCGGGTACTGCAACTCCCGGGAGTTTGGGCTCACAAGGAATTCTCCCACAGAAGCACACTGCACTTTTTGGAAATTCAATAGGGGTGTGCAAAAATATCGGAATATCGATATATCGTATCATTTAATGTGATGATACAGTATCAATATCATGGTCTGCTGTATCGACATATCACC